ACCAAAACTTGAAAAATTACGACCTCCAACTTTTCAAATCATAAAATTTAAAAAAATCATATTATATTAACAATTAATGGCTAAAATTTATTGCGTTATTAATACCATCACTAATATGAGAAACAAATTAATTACGAAAAATTCTTCTGCGTATTTTATATCCCACCAAGCACAAAAATTTAGAATGCAAATATGCATATAATTTTCACCGTTCTTTTTTATACTCATATGTACATATAACATTTTCACTACTCATATAGGTACTGAAAACAAGGAGTTCGCTTATTTTTCCGCCTAAAAGTTATCAGTGAGAATGATAATATTCAGTGAAATGCTATTGCTAAAAATGAAATCTGTGCATAAGTTGAAATCACTTACATAATTTCTGACAAATGAATGTTTTTGTTCTCAAAAATTGCAATAAATCAAATTAATACTCCAATCTGGTACCAAAGGATCTTTGAACAAATAAATTCCCGTTCACTAAACTAATGACTCTTGGAACTCGTATGACCCCATTTCAAGATCTCAAACTAAAACTTATAGAGCCATGAATTGCTGGGGAAATTTATAGCCTTCATCAATCTCTGCAAGAGACCTTTCCATCCATCGATAAAACACTTTTTAATTGTTTGTAATAAATAACTTACTTTAATTACTCGTTTCTTGGTGTTCGGTGAGGGTGGACCATGAACCAAAGTGTCGATATTCCTCTCAGTAATTAAGAATTCTTCGGGTCTGTCAAGAAACGAATACTTATCCAACCGTCTCGTAAAATATAACTTATTTTGAGAATTCAGCGTCCACATCATGATATTTTCAACTAGATATTCGTGATCTTCATAAATTCTCTCTGGAATAATACATTTTCATAATGCAATAGCGTTATATTCAAATTATAATCAGTAATTAAATCAACAAGTTTTGCAGTTACTTACTTATGTAAAGTTCGGCATATTCCTCAACAATTGTGTGATGCTCACTTAAGGCAATATTTAATTTAGTCGCAATTCTTCGAATGCATTCAGCCACTGTCCATCTCTCGTCAATAAGCAAAGAAACAGTTGACGAGCCATCATCGATGAAAAATTTTACGTAAATTTTTTTGATATTTGCTTCACGCATCTTTTCCAAAGCTTCTCGAATCTTAGCTGCTTTGATTTCATTAGCCGTAAGTGGACGTGGGATTGATGACTGAAGTTGAGATGTGTCTATCACTGGATTTAATGATGTTCGATTTGGAGAAGCCTGAAGTCCCGCAATGTTTGTAGATAAAGTGGAAATAAATTATTGATTTGCTCATAGAGTCTATACGATATCATTATTTTTGAGGTATAAAATTATAATATAAACTTTACAGTTTATTAATACTCTAAAATTACGATTTTTTTCAAAAATACACTTGCCACCAAACATAATATTTCTTAAATTAGGAAGAGCGTAATGAATTCATTCATATAAAAACAAACTAACAAATTGATTACAAAATCAGAAATCAAAAACTGCGTTATTAATGATTGTATTTAAGGACTTGAAAATATTAACTGCATAGTCTGAATGCATTAATGCACTGATTTCTGAAGCTTGTGTCTATTTTATGTAATTATTTTTATTTATAGCAAGATAATTATGTTAAATAGTCTGTGTTTATTATTTGAAGTGAAATACTAGCCATAATGACTCGGTTTAAAGGTCAAAATTTGAAGAACTAAAAATTGAAATAATTATAAAAGCTCAAAAGAGCTTATAAATGATCAACAATGTCTTTTAAGTGAGGCAAGTGAAAATTCATTTCTGACCATTCAGATTGAAATTATTCGTTAATACGTGAAATTTTTCGTGACGTGCGTGTAACTTGAATAAATTTTTATGAAAAGCGCAATAGCAGTAAATCAATCTATTACAAAACATAATTCTGATATTGGCTGTAATTTGCGTGAATGAGATATGCAAAAGGGAATAATACGCTGAATGAAATTAAATTAAGCAAATAAAGTAAAAGATCATTTAAGCAAGCATCCAAACTAATCTCTTACTCATACAAGATAATTAGAGCCTCCAATGGCTTAAGAATGATATGTGCTACAAATTTTATATGTTATGCCCTTTTGGACGTAAAGATAGATAAGTGTGTAATCGTAAATAGATTCATTGCATCATGAAAGTGGTCAGAGCGTTGCAAATTTAACCTTTGCCCTTTAGAATGTATTCATAATCTTGCCTCTTTTTTTTGATCTCATGCAAAACTATTTATTCCCACATTGAACTTTTGAACTCGAAGTATTTAAATTTATAATCAGCTGACTGATTTTTAATATTAAAAATAGTAAGTGATATTAAAGTACCGTCGAGTAGCAAACAGATCAACTGATCAAATAATTTTATTTTACGTACTTGAAAATGAAGAAAACAAGAGTAGTAATGAGATGCAAAAAGAGTTATGTAAATATGCAAATATTGTACACACATTGTATCTTTGAGCAGCAGACAAATAATGTAATGATAATAATATTCCTTACAATGTTTGCCTTTGATTCATTTTCCTCGTTGTAAGATTCAGTCAACCAATGCTCTACTCTATTTTTATTCCTGATCAATTTGGCACTGTTCAAAACTTTTCAATTAGTATTTAATCAGTGCTAATCTTCTTTAAATCTCATTCAATCAGTTTAGCAGTTAGTTGCTGACTGCATTCAGTTGTCTTATTTCATTCCAAGCTTATTTGGTATTCGCGATGAACTGTTAAAAAATTGCGAATTTCGTATTATTCAATAACAAGCAGTTAAAAGCAAAAAAAATTGTTTCATAAAATATGAAAATATAAGCAATAAATTAAGTCAATTTTCAAATTGATCAGTCATTTGATCCGTCAAGTAATCAAAATTATTTGATATAATAATGAAGGATTCAAAATGTTCTTTGCATTTGCATAAGTGCAGACAGTAACAATTTAGACTATGCAAATGTAATACTGACTGAAATGTAAGGCAAAATGACATTCTGAAAAATATTCAAAGCGATTCTTTTATTCGCAAATAATAAAATTTAGTGATTTGATGCAAGCAAATGGCAATATTTTGCTTCATTAAAAGGCCTTTCCATTAAAGTTAAATTGAAATTTCTTGAAAATAAATAAACGCAAAAAACAAAAATAAAAAAACAAAACAAACAAAAAACAAACAAACAAACAAACAAACAAACTTTCAGCATTCGCAATGCCAGCAAAGCAAGGCAAAGCAAATAAAAAAGCGAAATTTTTTTTCTTCGCACAAATATGCAAAATAGTTTATTTGTACGGTTCGCAACGCATTTATTATCCTCTACGCCATTAACTTGTAGTCTTTTGCCTTTGATCACAAATTGAATATTACCATTATTTCTTTGTTGGAAATCAGAAAATCTGCATAACGTGTCCTATTTTTGTTCAACTTTACTTCAATCTCTCACTGTAACTTACTGAAAAACCTTTGACCTTTAAATGTTTGCCTATTTTGAGCACAATAAAGTTTATTGACTTGGCATTGCCATGAATTACCTGCTAAAGATATTTGGAACTAATATTTTGAACTCAAACATTCGAATTAGTCCAAAATATATAATTAATGCTAACAAAATTTAATCATTTTCTGCTTTTTTTTGAAGGTTAAAAAATTAATTGTGCAAAATAAGTAAGAATTTTATAAATATTTCAAAAGTTGTAAAGAGTAATAAGTAAAATACTTAAGAAAATGAAGTATTTTTCCTCTTAAAAATATTACATTTGCCTTATTTATGCCAAATAAATGATGAAAAAGAGACTACATCCATCAAACTTTTCATTTTAATTACAACAAAAGTATGGCAGAGTGATAGTCGTCAATCAAATGTACAAACGGAATTCGAATTATTATTGAATTAGATGTCAACGGCAAATGATACAAGATATGCAGTTTGAACTGATAATAGACATTATCAGTTTGATCAAAATTACTAATCATTCTAAGACTAATTTAGGGAATTAAGCAAAACAGCAACTTTGAGAATTTCGTTACACAAACTATTATATTAATTTGTTCAAAGCTTGTTTCATATTTGAAAAATAAATTATACAATTATATGTAAAGACGAGTTGAAGTTAAGTTTGATGAAGCTATCAGACTTGTTGAAGCCATCATTTAGTGAAATCTTGAAGTGTTCAATAAATAATGACTTCATCAAACCTAAAGAGAAATGAAATAGTTTATAGTTCACACTATAATTCTAAATTTTGGGTTAATTTAAGATTGTTTAAAAGTTGAGATTAAAGGAAATTTTAGAAATACTTACGGATTCAGCAATATTTAGCAGAAGAAATTTCAGTTACTTTCATTTCAGTCATATAAATTAAGTAAATGACTAAAATTTGGTGTTGGAAAGTTTGAAAATATTATTCAAAATTATTCATTTTGGACAATAAAATTACGAGAGAGTATTTTTTTTTTTGAAGAATATTAAGACATGTTTTGATTTTCAATAGATTATACAGTACAGTGGATGCTTAATGTTGCAAAAAAAATCCAAAATATCAATTATAAAAAATTTTCTCACCTGTTGCGTGGGACTTGGAGTGTTGAGCGAACCACGACAGCTATCTGAACAAGAAATAGCAGAATTCCTGCAATTTCGATTGTTATTTCTGGATTCAGTACTGGAGGAGTCTCCAAACGCGGAATCTCGATCGGGACTGGGACAATCCATCGGAATTCCAGCTGTCGTGCTTGAATTATGTACGAGATTATCTTGAAATGAATATGAGTGTTGAGCATGCATATGATGACTACCATACCTATAATAATAATAATAATTTTCTTTAGTTACAACAATATTGAAAACACAAATAATAATAAAAGCAATTGAGTTAATAATATAAGCAAAACTGTTCAAATTAATAATATAAGCAAAAAATTAGCTTTCCACAATCGCTAGATAAGGTAATGGATTAGAAAGTCAATAGGTCAGAGACTGCTTCATGTAGTTGGTAAAAAATGATCAAGACATATTATGAGAGCAATTTTGACTCATATTTTTTCATAACAGATTTTAGAAAAAAAAAACTAAGTAATGGATGCAGTAGTTTTGATAATAATTTTATTTTTTTTAATTTTGATAATTATTTCATTTTTTGAAATAATAGCCGTAAATTGTAACGTTTCTTCAGAAGCAATTCAGCAATGTAATAAATTGGAAAACAAATCGTAAAAATTCGTTTCATTGCATCGCAAAGTTAAACACTAAATATTATTTTTGTGTAAAAAAGCGATGAATATTATATTTCTGCATATTGATGATGCATTCTCGTAGCTTATTTCCATTTCACTTCTAAGTGCTTTCAGAATTCGTTTATCTGTGAAAGTATTCACTCTTTCGAGAAGTTAAAAAGATAATAATTTAAGCCAAAAATGAAAAAATACAGCGATCAACTCCAAAAGATTACTCACTCCATGAAGTCTAGTCTTTCATTTTGCATCTGAGAATGAGCAATGGCAATAATTATGCATGCATTTCATTTTTTGCCTCCACAATGATGACATTGAATAGCAAGCAAATTTGTGTGCATTCAAAATTAAGCCTCTTTAGCTAAACTCAAAATGTTGCACAGAAGATAATATTAATGAAAATCAAATTTTAGAGCAGAAAAAAAATCAAAAAGCATTGAAAATGCGCAAATTACAACAAAATGAATGTAAAAATGATACCTTTCAAAAGAACAACCGATCTGAACGGTTTTTTTTCCAAAATTTTTGAAATGCTTTACAACTGCGCAAGTAATAGTTATGCATAGAGAGAAGAAGAAATTAAAAGTAATGCGAAGAAATACTGCAAATTGAATTTATAGCCATTCAGCTGATGTACGGAAGGAAGACTGATATAAGAAGACAAGAAAATTTTAAGTAATCATTAATCATTTGACTAATACTTATGAAAATTTAAGAAATTACTTAGTTTCATTCAGAAAGAAAATTCAGAAAGAATTGAAGTCTGGAGCAGATTTTGCTTCCTTCCTAAATTGGCTGAAAACATCTGCTACGTGTTTTGAGTAATTAGCACAATCACAGCAATAGGTTACTCACAATTAATTATTTATCTAGCAGAGAGCATAGCAATTATGGAAATTTTCATTCACGTCAAGAAAACAAATAATGTAAGTAAGCAAAAGGCACTTTGGTGATGATGCATTATGATTAATATAAAATTCATATTATTCTTACTCTTCAAAACTTCGATTTTTAGGCCAAGAAAGCAGCTATAATGCTGGCTATACGTGATGAAAATGAAAACTTGACCTCAATTATCAGTACAAATTTTGAATTTCAATTAATCACTACTCACCCGGAAAATACATTGTGGGATGTGCAATGGAAATTGGCATAGTTAATTTAAGCATCACTTTTTTCAGGCAAAAAAGAAAACATACCTTTTAGTGTCACTTCGTGCTGACAAATGGATACTATTACGTTTACTTTGATTTACACTACTTTCACGTGAAATGGAAGTCGGCAGAGTTGGAAGGCCAAGTAAAGCCTGATCTCCGCCATCTGTGAGTTGCAATTCGAGAGCTGACAGTTCACCAAGCAAAGTATCCAATTCCCAATCACAACTTTCTATAAAATTTACTAATTATACTTATATATTCCAATGTAAAATGAACAAAATCTATTGAAAATTGAAGAACAAAAAAGAATATTTTTGGCATTTTTCGAAAACTACTCAAAAAATTTACGAAAATAAATCAAATTTCGTATAAAATTAAAAAAATTGAAAAAAATGAAAGCACTTAAAAAACCAAAAAAGAAAAAATTATTGTCCCTACAATTATTTTAAGCTAATTATTATTATTATTATTATTATTATACGTTAGCAACCAAAAGTTTAATATACTATTACACTTTTGAGTGTGCTCACTCTTTGCCAATTCTCTAGCATTTAGTTTAATCATTTGATGCACTCAATCTTCTTCGTTGGTTCATAAACGAAATTTAATCAAAATTCAGTTTTGTGTAAACAATTCAACATGAGAGTCGATCAGTCAGCTTATCGATCACTGATTTGATAGCTTTAGAAAACTTTTTTTCACGCTGAATCATTTATTAGTGTGTGAAGAAGAACTGCTTCGAACACCACAACAATCAAGCATTTCGCATGAATGAATGGATGCATGGATGGATGGATGGAAGTTTGCTCTCACTCAACAAATTATGATCAAGCAATCGAGCAAAGCAAAAATCTATTACTACTTTACTTTGGTGCAATCACAAAAGAATGCAAAACTCATTGTGAACTATTCCATTCCATCACAGAAAAGGCATAGAATTTTGAATAATAGCGAAATTCAATTTGCTCAAAAACTGATTACATTAAATATATAGAAAGAAATGGATGCTTTTGCGATTAGAAGCAAAATTCTACAAAACTTCATAAAATAATCTCATAGAATTTATTATTACGGAAATTTTCCTTCAAATTCAACTAAACAACAAAATTAAGCTTTAATTTCCGCTGAACTTTGACTTTCTAAGTCCACGAAATATTCAGAATATATAACTTGTTCGTACTTTGATTGAAAAGTAACCAAATAAAAGCAACTTTTACTGTCTAAATTGTGGTAGAAAAGCAAACAATCAACTGATTATCACTTTCCTCTTCTTACATTGAGCTTACATATGTTAGCTATACATAACATTGATCTCACTAATTAGTCAATCAAATTAATTAGCTGAATTTTTGATGTGTCACTTATTAAGACAACACAAGAAATAAGAGATTAAGACAAAAATTTTAATTGAGGCAAATTTTCCTAATTGCAATGAGCACAGCCAAAGAAAC